AGCTCCTTTGGTAATTGTCAATTGCGCATGCGCAAGCGGAGTGTAAAAAGAAGTATGTTATTAGGAGAATGAGCTTTCGTTAATAATGTTGCTGCGCGTTTTCGCTGTGTAAATAAAAGTATATTTTTATATCATAGATGTTCTTTACTCTCTAATGCGAAGCACTAGGTTAGTGCACGAATCTCTTCTGATTCAGAAACCATTTTCAAACCGTGGATCACCACAGATAAAATCCAAAAAAATGAAAACAAACATAAAGAATTTAAAGGCAAAAAGGTTTTTATTACATGAAAAAAATTTGTAAGAATATTGAACTATATTTATGATAGAACACTTCATTTGTCACAATTTAATCATGTACCAGAAAAAGAACATTATCTTTTGGTTAAAAGGGTATTACCCCTTGGGTACATTTGACGTCTGAGACACGTCATTCACTTTTTTCCCCCTAGGAATGGATGGCATGTCCAAGACATCAAACCAAAAATTAAACTCTTGGGTACATTTGACGTCTGAGAGACGTCATTCACTTGTCTTCCCTAGAAGCGGATGACATGTCTAAAATGTTATTTGAGGTTAGACACAATTCTGTTCATTACATTGGAGCTTGTATCAGTCATAATAGAAGAGCAATTACATAAGAATCAATTACTTGGGTACATTTGACGTCTGATATTCATTGCTTCCCTAGAAGCGGATGACATGTCTAAAATGTTATTTGAGGTTAGACAAATTCTGCATTACATTGTAGCTTGTAAGTCATATAGAAGAGGCATTACAGTATTTCGCTGAACATTATTCGCGATACACTGCCCCATTATGTCAAAAGCAAGGAATATATTTTATCATAGTGATAGCGAAAGTGATTGAGAAATCTAAAGAAGAATTGTTTAGTGATCCTGAAATTGACAATTACAATGAAATACAAAGTGAAGGTGATGAAGACGATATTGAACTAGAAAATGATGACAATTGTAATACAATATCAAGGTTTTGAAGACGAACAAGACATCTATCAAGCAGTGATAGTGAATCTTCTCGTGAACCAGAAATGATGACAATTGTAATTGACAATTGAATTGACAATTTATTCATATAAAACCAAGGTTTCAAAGATGCACAAGACGTCTATCAAGCAGTGATAGTGAATCTTCTCGTGAACCAAAATCAGAGTAATGGATTTAAGAAGAAGAAGGAAATGTAGCCGATATAAAAAGTTTTTTCTGAAATATCTGGAATTAATCCTTTGAGCCTGCGTAGACTAGATGTTGTAATCCTACGCCTTTAGATGTTTTGAAAGAAGTCTTGAATGAAGAATTTTTGGGACACTATATATATATGTATATGAATAGATATGCCAGACAGAAGAGATGAATAGATATGCCAGACAAGTGATAGAAAAAGAAGGTTATGTAACACACAACACACAAAAAAAAAAAAAAAAAAAAAAAAAAAAAACAAAGGTGGTTTCCTGTATGTTCTGAAGAAATTAAAGCTTATACAGTCAAAAGTCGTTAATTCGGACACCCATAATCCGGACCTCAAAGGTACAAACTTTCTAACTGACGCATGCGCGTAAGACCTTTACGGCTGCGAATATGTGTGTGCGCATGCCCAAAATACGTTTACGCATGCGCGTTTAATGTATAACGGACGGTATAAGCTAAGCTAAAATTATCTAATTCAGTTAATGTTGCAGATTGCGTTGTTCCTTAATCTTCGAATTGGATCCGGCTTATTATTTTTTGCAGACTGTTAGACCAATTTTATAAAAGTAAGCTTGAACTTTCGATTATGTCAAATAGAATTTCTGATATATATTTACTAATATAAAGGATCTACAAAGCGAAAGTATGTTTCGAAGTCCATTAAACAAAAAGTGGAATTGCTGCAAAAAATGGATAAAGACATATCCTTTCTTTATCTAATCATTCCAAAATCTGTTTATCAATTTCATGCTGCTCTGCGGCGGGGGGACGCCGCGGCGTGCTATGAATTGGAAGTTGATCTGTCAGCACTATCCTTATGTTCAGGGCAGATGTTTTTATTTTATTTGGCTTATAATTTGTTACTAAATGTAGTATTTCATCTCGATGTACTCCGTCTTTGATATGATTTAAATCAAATTCCTCGTCATCATAATTCGCTTCCGATAGCGAAGAAAGTAAAGTAAACAAATAAATATTAAGCTTTTTTTTTTTTTTTTTTTTTTTTTTTTTTTTTTTTTTTTTGTAAATTTTGATACCCTTTGGATCATAATTGTTCTTTATATCATAAATTACGGTTTCATATTTTTAATTTTATAATTTCTGCATGCCATCTTACCAGATTTAAACTGATGATCTATAATCCGGAATCGCCGAAGTCTCGATGAGTCCGGATTAACGACTTTTGACTGTATTGCATTATACATCTTGATGTCGCAAATGAAGAAGCCAAAAATGCATATGTATTGGTCAAAAAGATATGCAATAAGTACTCCAGTTTTTGCCAGCACTATGCCATGCGATAGATTTTTTGATATTTCAAGCTTTCTACATTTTACGGATAATGAAAAGGAAAATAAAGATGACAGAATAAGAAAGATTAGAAATATAGTGGATTACCTAAATAATAAATTTTGTTACCTTTATACTCCTGATAGTGAAGTAGCTATTGATGAATGACAACCAAAAATTATATCTGTTCCGCATGCAAATATTTTCTCAAATAAATCCGTACTCAAGGGGTTAATGTATGAGGGCAATCCCCAAAAAAGGTCTCCTATTTTTTGGGGACATAGAGAAAGTTTTAATACGGTTGTTGGCAACACTGTTGTGAGTGGTGCCTTCTCCGCTACCACATAAGCATGCAGGCGCTTCGCTCGGGTGCTCAGTCTTGGCTTGGTAGCCATTTGAAATGGAGCTCCCGACAAACGTTACCGCCAAGTGGGAGCAGTTATTTGATTTTTGAATGCAAAAGGCGTTAAACCGGTTGAAATTCACCGCCTATTGACGGAAGTGTATGAACAGTCATGCATCGATGTCAAAAACGTTCGCAAGTGGCGTAGAGAGTTTACAGCTGGTCGTACTGAAATTCATGACGAAGAAAGAAGCAGGAGGCCGTCAATTGTCGACGAGACAATCGCGAAAGTTGAGGAACTCATGCGTAAAATTCGGAGGATCATTATGGATGCTCTCTGCATTTTGGTTCCTGAGGTTTCCAGAAGCACCATCCACAGGATTTTAACGGAAAAGTTGCAATATCGGAAGGTGTGTGCAAGATGGGTGCCGCGTATGCTGACAGAAGATCACAAACGGCAATGGGCACCCAGCGATTTCCACCTGTTCCCTAAGTTGAAGGAACATTTGTCTGGTCGACGGTCACTGGTGACGAGGTGAAAGATGAGGTTCAATGCTTCCTGAAGGGCATGGCGGCAAGCTGGTATGACATGGGCATCATAAAACTGCCACAGCGTCTACAAAAATGCATCGACTGAAATGGCGATTATGTTGAAAAATAAAGCATTCTTCAATCTTTAAAGTGATGTAGCAATTATAGAAAATAAACGTTTTTTTTTTTTTTGTATATCTAAAATTATAGGAGACCATTTTTGGGGGGATTGCTCTCGTATTTAAAAGGTACAAAAAATAAAAAAAATTCTATAGCAATGATTTTGGAGTTTTAAATGCATATGCTGATGCTAGCTGGGGAAATGCAGAAAATGATAAGTCATTTTCTGGTGGTACTATTTTACTAGGTGATTAATTGATTTCTTGCAAATGTCAAAAGTGTTAGGCTGTCTACTTCTGAAGCAGAATTGTTTTATATTTTTGAAATTTGTAAAGATATTATATGGACTGTAAATTTATTATCAGAATTAAAATGTAAACAATTTTTGGATGGTGCAGTGGCTTTGAATACAGACAGTGGTTCAACTATGCCAGATCTACGAAATCCAGACACATGAACGTACGTTTCCATTTTATGAAGGACTTAATAAAGGACAATGTCATTAAGTTGGAATATTCACAATGATAGTATGATTGTAGATTTTCTTCTTAAGAATGTCAGTGAAGAAAAATTAATGTATACGAAAAAATGTTGCTCGCAGGAGGGGTGTGTTGGGTAGAGTTGAGCGAACTTTTTTCTTTTGCACATGCATATTAATTATGGTGGCACAGCTGTCTCTTCTCCTGACACATCTGTCATTCGAGCGTACGGAGATGGTGAGATACTATATGCTATGTGATGGTTCATATGATTTGCTGCATCCTTTTTTTATTCATTATTCGTGTAAATAAAGAGTGTTGTCCTAAATTGATGGCTTCTTTACTCTAAATATGGGCCTCTGAACAACAGTTATTAGACACTTGAAAAAATGTAAAGACATATATATATATATATAAAATTAATACATTATTTTCAACAATGGCTGAGCTATTTTTTTATTGTCACAGATGTTTTACACTTAAATAACTGTATTATGCAAAATTACTTTATTTTAAAGTGTTTCAGTTCAAGTAATAAGTTAATAATCTTATTAAACATTGTCACAATGTTTTTAAAGTGGTGTTTTTATTTTATTTCTTTGTTATAAAAGTAATAATTTAACCTTTCTTTAGTATCTTATATTCACACAAAATATATTTATTTACAGTCATATGCCATTTTGAAAAACAATTTTCAACAAAAAATTAATACATTATTTTCTCCTATACCTCATATTTTTAAAGTTTAGAATATTTTGTTAAGCTTAACACAATTTTTCAAGATAGCAGGGGATTATAAAACCCATGGCAATAATCGTGCCAACAATTGCACAACAAAAAAATTACCAAAAACATGTGTGCCTGTCTACCAAAGCAGTACCTATATATAAAGTAAATTTAGTAAAACTTCAAAAGGCAAATTTAAACAGGAAAAAACAAATCAACAGTTAAGACAAATGTTATTTATTGATTTTGAAATCCATCAAAGTTATTCTGATAAAATATAATTTGCTAAAATTTTGTATTTACCTGGCCATGTATATCTCCACAAACTGTAACTGGAGTAAAAACAGGCTGAATATTAGACTCTTCCAATAGAAGATCACATACTATGTCACATAATTTCTGAAACAATTAAAAAATCTGCAGCAGATAAAAAGATAGCAGAAACTGCAAAGGCTAATCTTTGGAATATGGTAACAGGTCGTTTGGCGACATTTTGGTAAGGCGATAAAGGTTACTAGCTAGGACTTTAGCAGTGTACATAGATAAAGTCAAAAGTGCGCGCAATGCCATTTTTGTGCAATTCTGGGATGTTTTTTTAAGTGAAAATAGTTCTAGCATAAGCGTAATTCGGCTAGCAGATTGTTGGAAAAAAATTTTGAGTATTAAAAAAAAAAAAAAAAAAAAAAAAAAAAAAAACCATGCCTTTACTTCATGAAAACAAAAACTAGCAGGTTGATGTAGCAGGGCTAGCCGCCAAAAAATCGCCAAGTTACCATAATCCAGAGATTAACCACAGCAAATATAACAGAAACAAATTGGAGATTTTGAAAATAATAAAAAGCAAACATACCAAGAAAAAGTTTAACGACAACTACAATATTTCTGTACGCAATTTCTCATAACATTTACTCAAAACCTACATTAACAGTTATAACACTACAGATTAAGAAATTGCTAGGATGATAGCAATTATATGTTAGTTTTGTAAATATAGTAATTTATAATGCATATACATACAATATCTCTAATGAAGGATTTTTTTAATGAATGCAGGGGAAAGATAGCTCCATAGCTTCAATTAATTTTACGAATTTATAAAAAATATGAGTATATCCTGAACATGAAAAGAATATAATGACACCAACTTATTTTACCAGTTTCTTCCATAAAAAAATGAAAATATCTATTTAAAAAATGTTTCATTTTATGTCTCTAGTGTTAATAGTTTGGATAATCTTCTGTTATCAGGTGTAATGTATGTACATTCAGGATAATGTATGTATGTGCATATATGTGTGTATATACTCACACATACATATATACGTACACACATACAGGGTGTCCCATAAATGTTGCGACAAACTTCTAGGGGAGGTAGGGCACATCATAAGGATTAAGAATTGCAAAGGAACCCATACCTGGAAATGTCAGGGGTATGTGGTAGCTGAGGTAGAAGTTGGGAAATTTGAAACATTTATTGGATGTGAATACAAATGGTGTACGACAGCTCCAATGTTACAACAAATAATAGAAGTTTGCTGCATCAGACACCAAACGTGCCAGGCATCGACAGACCATTGATCGCCAGAATTGTTCAAACACACCGGGAGTTTTTTTTTTTTTTTTTTATTGTAGCAGCTGGGCAGGTAAGTCTTGCCACAAGATCCATTTCAGACACAACAGGATCATGATACATGACACTTTTGATGGTTTTCCCACAAACATAATTACACAGTCACTGACCAAACCTACCTACACATTAAACTTTGAAGCTTTGTTGTGCTGCATTCTGCCATGGGGATTTTCTTGAGCCCACAAATGCTGATTGTGGTAATTGAATATAACCTCATCCGTGAACAACACATAAGCTAGGAAACTAACATCACAGGCATTTTCTTGCAGAAACCACGAAGCAAAATGCACACATTTAGGATGCTCATTGGGAAGTACTAACTAAACCCTTTGTAGACGAAAGGCGTGGAAGGACTCAATGTTCAGGACACTAGTACGAGACATTTTTAAATAAAAAAACAATGGTACATATGCTAGTCCTTGGATTACTCTCCACCGTATCCAGCACAGTTTCTTTCCTAACGACTGAGTGAGTCACGGCCTGCCCTCACTTGTCCTGCTACTTCTTAATGATCCGCAGTCGCACAAATTTTGATGCAAATGTGCAAACAAACTGTAGAGTGGTTGATATCTGTTGAATGTGCATTCTTGATGAATGTGCATTCTTGATAAATGTGTCCATTACCCTCAGCTATTCCATACACTAAGTGCAGTCTGCATGCTCTCCATTCATACAGTGTTCCATTCTCTTCGTATGGTACCTACTGCTCAAATGAGGCAATACTAACATTCTCCTGTACAACACCCCCTGGCAACATACAGTGACATTTCTGGGCATGGGTTGCTATGCAATTTTTAATGCTTATGATGTGCCCTACCTCACCCAGAAGTTTGTCGCATATTCACTGGACACCCTGTATATATGCATACATGAACACATGTCTGAAGTGTCAATAACAGAATAGTACCATAGTATATCAATACAATGTCATGATTATACTCAAATAATAATGTATAGACAGATAATTCATTCTGTAACTAATTGATGTAAACTTGGATGTCAGTACATTACATTATTGCATGTCATGGATTCCTTGATAATACAGGTTTCTGTTCTAGCTTGCTCTATCATACAGACACAGTCCTGATAATCACTCACAGTCCCATATGATTTTGGGTCTGCTGTGAAGTTCTCAAAAACAATGGTCACCATGAGAGGGTTCTTTATATAATACACATATATATGTTTAAATAGAGGTAAACTAGTGGCATAATTAATAAGGCTTTCAACAGATAATGATTAACGCCATTACACACATACAATTTACCTACAGTTTTCTTTTAGGTAGTTAAATTGGCTCTCTTTTAATATAAATGCAAGGGAGTTTTTCGCAGAAAGTCCTCTACTTTTTTCCTTCAGGTTGGTACTCTTATGTTTTACTATAATTAACGACAAGACATTCAACATTAGGTTACTAAGAGTTAAATTTTGGAGTGTCAAACATTACATGCATGAAATTTCAATGATGTAGGATTCAATACTACCATATCTGCACACTGTTCAAAGGTTGACTACATTAATAAATATCTCCAGTAACACATGCTGAGGTTTTCAATAATTACAATTATTTTCCACAACACTATTAAAATACTTTAACTTCATATTTGTATAAAACACAATTCGGAATATATTTAATTTTTTTAAATTATAAACTAATTCAAAATAAAATTGTAAAATGAATACAAATGTAACCAGAACAAAATATCAAACACTTCAACATAGCTTGTGTTCCTTCTATTATAAAACTAAATATACAAGCACGTAAAAACGCCCACTATTTAAAACCGTTACGACGAAGCTTCAATGGTTTTCAAAACTTCAAGCAAAAGGAAGGAAACACTACAGCAAATATCTCATATCAAAACAACAGAGTTTTATGTGAAAAAAAATCATAAAGTAAACAATGCTTTATACAAGAACAATAAAGAACATGCCGACTGCATCAATTTTAAAAAAATAAGGAGACCATTTAGTTCGTGACGTTCAAAAACTTCTAAGTACCTTAAGATCATTTTCCGGCAGATATTTGCAGTCTTTTGCTATTTCCACCCATTTGTCAATGTCAGTCATAGTATGTAATTTATAAAATAAATTAAAACGCTAATTTACGATGGCATTAAACTATAAATTTTAGCGCCCGTTTGTTAACATAAACAATTACAGACAAATTACAAGATGTCTTATTTTGCAACCGCTAAGTCTTTCTGCACAGACGAAAGAAAAATCAAGCTAAGGTGCGGAAGGAAAGGTATATACCTAAGCTTGATCAAAGAAAATTCTTTGACTTGATTAACTTTTGGCTGTGGAAGATCAAAATTAATGTCGCAAAATGTGCTGCCACTTTATCCCCAATTTACCTAACTTGCAATTCTTCGGGAAACCATTCCCTGGGTTCGCACTTATAAGTACCTAGAAGTGATACTTGATTCAAAATTAACTTAGCAACCTCACATTCAAAAAACAATTTCCGGTGCGAAGGTTGTCAAATCTAAATTACTGTCTTTTTTCGCTAGAAAAAACGACCTCTTCACGAAAAACAAGATCCTGCTCTATAAATCAGTGATAAGGCCTATTCTGACCTATGCAAGTCCCGTATGAGGCACAGCAGCAATTACTAACAAGAAACACATCCAAATTTTCATATATATTTCATATAGTTCGTATATATTTCATATCCAACATATTATGCTTCGGCAAATTTACAAAGCCCTTGGTTTGTTACAAACGAGGATATTCATAATGCAACCAAAATTCTTCCCTTAAATCACTTTATACAGCGACTTTCGGTTAACTTTTTCAAAAAGATTCCTTCGATCGGTAACCCCGTCTCCCATTCATTGCCTG